GCTAAATATCACTACCTCACATGTATGGATTCGGCTTTAAGGGTGCTTAATGGTAGAGGAGATAGAAAGTAAGGAATGATCAAACCAAAGAGAGCAACAGAGCTGCACCCACATAAGACTCATAATTTTCTTGGTTCGATAATGACCTGGGAGGGCCTTAATATACCAGTACCTCGGTTTACATATTTACTTTGTTTTATAGCTTCGAGAAACATAGCTATGCTCTTGTTTTTGTTGGGAGGATGGCCAAAGTTGTGTTTCTCACCAGATGGGGTTTGCAAATGGAAGTATAATTTTGCAAATGCTTTTGTTTGCAAATGCCCAGAGGAAGGCATTTTGAGGAAAGGTGTTTATCCAGAGGAAGCTTCCTTCCTTCAAATAACAGGATGGAAATATTTGTTTTGGGAAACAAGCTTAGGAGGATCTGAAGATTAAAATTCTGACACTTGCCCTTTTCTCCCCAAATGTCCCACCCCGCATCCAGGCCCTCGCACTTCCTCAGACATTGCATTCATCCTCCCACTCAAATGGCCTCGCGACTTGGAACATTTTAGATTATGATCTTTCTAATTAGAGATGTTCGACTTATGCATTCCAAGGTAAGCTGTTCTTCGGAGTACAACGACATGAAATGGGCCACAGGACTATTTTAAATTATCCCTTCTCAAGGACCACAGGAGATGGGCAACACTATGACTGCCCACTACATTTTACAGTGGTGAGCTTTAGGATTGCATTTCAGTAGAACCAACTCACTGCATGATACTCACAACCTGCATACACACACTGATATCCCAGCTAATTCATTTCTGAATGCCTTCTGCTAGCACTCCCTATTATGATGCAAATAATGATTATTTAAGAAGATTTGCTGTTGCTCAATTACCCAAGTCATGTTCTATTCCGCCTTGTTGTGGGTTTCCCCATCTACTCTTTAAATCTGTCAACAATGTAATTCCACTTGGACCTTCATCAGTGGTGAAGCTGACAGGTGCTCTGTGACTGCCTAACTCATTCAGGCAAGTAGTGTTAAGAAAGTCAACTGCTGCAAGGTAATGTGTGTGGTCCTGTGAATTCGCAAGAACTGAGTTAAAATCCCAGGCCTAATCACATGGAAGTACTGTTACCAGCCCCTCTCTCAGGGTCCAAGATGTGGGAGCAGCTACAGGCAATGGGGAGAGAAATCCAAAAGAGGGTGACTGGGTAGGAGTCATGGCTTTGTGCAGCGATACAGTAGTCCCAGCCATCACTGCAGGGGACCCTCCTCACTCTCCTCCTGCACAATGACAGTCTCCAGACAAACTCAGAAAGTAAACAGAACAAAAAAACCCACTGACCATGGTAGGCAGTGGTGGATTCTGCAGCCAAAAGGAGTTGAAGGCTACAGAATGGGTGTGGAGACTCACACAATAGCCAGTGCACACAGAACACCAACAAGTACACATATGGGCTTCAATATGCAGATATTGGGAAGTCCTCTCTGGGAACACTATGAACACATATGTTATTTCTGTACACATTCTCTAGCTTCTCCTGTGCACAAGAGAGGCTAAGAATTTAATTTACGGTTGATTACTTTTTCACCAGGGACATACAGCCTCCAAATTCTCTCCTCCATCTTACGCAGCACTATCTGATTTATCAACACACAGTTTGTTTAATTGTCCTGTTAGCACAGCCGCTCTCCGTGACATCCCAAGGGGCTCAGCGATCTATAACCATGGGAATCTGGAAAGTGACATAAAAGACTCTGGGTCAGGTGGGTTGGAGTTCCGTGGAGAAGATGTTCTCTATGGAAATAATAGGTAAGTCGCTGGATTCAGCTTCTCAATGGTGAGTTCTGTTTGCTCCTCATGGTCAATCCTACCGCCTTTTGCATACAAATATGTGATAAAAGCAAACTAAAAGGTATTGTGTGAAATATCTTTACCATCATCCTACTTTAATTTCTGAAAATACTAGGAGCTCAGATACAGGAGACATCCATGACAAAAAGGTAGAAATAAACACATGTAAAATCACAGGGAAAAAAATAGCTTACATTTTTGAATGAATAAGCAACAACCAGGACTCACTAAAAAAAATCACAGTTTATCAATATATCAAGTGTAATTGAGGCATAACAATGAAGAGGCAAGTATCAGTATGAGAGACAAAAGATGTCATGAAAAAGGGAGACTCCCTTCAGTTAGCCCTTCTTTAAGAAAGTGTGGAAGCAGAGACTTGTTTATTTGAGAAGCCCTTTGAGAATGAAACGTATTTCTTTTCTTTTTTAATCTTTTAATTTATTTATTTGGTACAGGGTCTCACTATGCAGCTCGGACTCCAAATGATCCTCCTGTCTCAGCCTGCCCAGGGCTGGGATTACAGGTGTGTGCCACCACAACCGGTTTCAGTGGCTGTTTCAGCATATTGTGCCTGGAGATCAAACCCGGGTCCGTGAGCTTGCCAGGCAGGCACTGAGACCACCAAGCGACCTCCCTTACCCAAAGTGAAGCTTATTTCTGAAGAGAAATGAGCACCGTAATACATCCATGGAACGTTGCTTTTCAGCTTGTACATGTTAGGAATGTGCACAAGGTTGACACAAACCACCTGGCTTTCTTGTTCTGATTAACAATTACAGGACTCAGTTTCTCCTTGTGAGAGGAGGATTGGGGCAGGGGTCAAGGAACCACACACTCGGAGTTTTCGCATGTGTGGTCCAGGCTGAAATGCCAGCATTTTTAAGGGTGAAAAAGTGATGTGAATTTTATAAGAGCCCCAAATTGACTGTGACCCAATGCAGTTAATCGTCTCACTAAATGATGTGCACAAGCAAAGCTGTTGAAGCTGCTCTGTGCCTTTCAAGGCACAGAAGGGCACTGCAGGCAACCCAGCATGGGCTGCGCAAGACAGAACAGTGAAAGGAAGCTCAGGGGCCAGAGGGCTGCCGTCACACCGAAATTATGCCAAGGCAACACTATCGCTTGGCTAGTGTGTAACCTCAGTATTTACACAGGGCAGATATTTTACAGAACCCTGGACCGAGTGTGCTAAACACAATGTCTCCTTTAAATTTTCCTGTAATCCCACAAGGAAATAAGTGCTAGCATTAAACAGATAAATTGCTGGAGTTGAACTAAGTGACACAAAGCTCCCAGCTATAGAAGTTGTCAGCATCAGGACTGAAATGTAGATGGATTTTTAGCTCATCTTTCAAACTTTATAAAGCTGTGAAGCACTTTTACCCATGCTGATTCCTTGAGCCTTTTACAACGATTTAATCCTGACCAAATTAACATCAGGGATAACAGAACAGGTATTCGTGTCTGCACGTCTCGCTGTGACCTACGGACAATGCTGACTCACAAGCGCAGGCGCTGCTTTCATGCAAGCACGTTCTTGAGACTCACATACATCCTGCTAACCCAGGAACACTGCTCAGCCTTATGTGCAGGAACAAACTGAGATTCTCTTAGCGCTCCAGTGTTACCAAGCCAGGCACTGTGCTTAGTGTTTAGTGAGCTCGCTCTTTTACAACACTAAGGAAACAAATAATTCTTCTCTTCTGTTGGAAGCAAAGGAACTTCCGCATTCTTAACTTTTTAACTATATAAAAGACAAAAGCTTTTTCCATGTTCCCTGGGCCAAGCAGGCAGCTGATGGCTAAGCCGCACTCTCTGTCCCAGTCCATCCTAATGTAACAACAGTCTGCTCCACTCCTGGGAAACACTTGCACTGCAGACATATGCCATTTTGGAAGACAACTGTCTGCTGGCATTGACAACTTGCAGACTTCTTTCTCACTTTGTTTCTTTATCTTTTCCTATAGGACTCTGCAAAGAATAAAAATAATTTGGGCTTAGCAGCACCAGAAAATGCATAGAGGCCACAGAACAAAAGTCTATGTTGGCTTTGGGGTCAAATGCTCTCAGAACACCAGTCCTGCAAAATGCTTTCCCTTCTGGACCTACATTCTCCCATAGTCCTTCATCGGTAAGTATTAACTGTGTGTCTATTTTTGCTATGAACTTTTCTACGTATTCATGATATAAGATACAAAAAAAGAAACAAAAATTGCTCACCCTGGAGTTTATGTCTTAGTAAACTTTTGTCTCTCTTTGACCCAAAGTAAACGAGGGCATTATCACTACAGGTAGTGGGCCGCTTAGTGATATTCTCAAATCATTTTCTACTTTTTGACATAATTTCTAGGAGACACATCTATGTGCACAGAGTGCAGTGCAGAGCTTTGGACCTGAGCACCTTGCCCCGTGATAACAGCCTTGCAGATCCTCATCTTACCTGTGTGTTTGGATGTCTAATCATCACAGAGGCGAAGGCATCTCAGGATTCACAGTCTAGTGTGGACAGGGAGAAAGCCCCAGAGAGCCACAGGACAGTGCAGGGGTGGAGGGACATGCTCCTCCAAGTAAATCAAGACTTAAAAATAGTTGATTTCTGAAAAAGAGCTTTAAAACTAAGTGGGTATAAAATCAACACACTTTGTAAACACAAACAAAAAAAAATAATCAAGGGTCTAAAACATGATTTGAGGTCAATACATTTATTGAAAGAAATGAGACAAACCTAAATGTATTACCGTTTGCTTGTTACTTTTTTATTATTTTTATTGAGAAACAAATAGCAATGAGACAATGTCAAAGCCAATTAGTAGGATAGTTTCAATAATTAATGCATTGCATGTTGTTGTCTTCATAATAGTTATTCATAGTTCAAGATCCATCATGATATCCTGTCCAAACACCTATTAGTACAAGTTTTTCTTCTCATTGAATTAAAAGAAAGTAGTTGTATATCATTTGCTTGTTATTAAATGCAAGCCACAGTAGTGAACACGTTGAAGCACAGGAAGGTCCCACAGCCCACCCCCGGCAGGCAGGATTCTCTTTTACCTTAACAGCACCTCAGGACCTAGCTCAGAGACTGTCCTCACTGATCCTGGGGGAAGCACTCACAAGCTTATCCCCTCCATCCGTAGGTGAACTCTGGGAGCCATGGAATGGGGCAACCACACAGTGACCGAGTTCATCCTGCTGGGCTTCACCACAGACCCCACGATGCAGCTGGTCCTGTTCGCCCTGTTCCTGGGCGTGTACTCTGTGACCTGGCTGGGAAACACCTCCCTCATGGTGCTCATCTGTAATGACGCCCGGCTCCACACACCCATGTATTTCTTCATTGGAAATCTCTCTTTCCTGGATCTCTGGTATTCTTCAGTCTACACCCCAAAGATCCTAGTGACCTGCATCTCTGAGGACAAAAGCATCTCCTTTGCAGGCTGTGTGGCCCAGTTCTTCTTCTCTGCTGGACTGGCCTACAGTGAGTGCTACCTACTTGTGGCCATGGCCTACGACCGCTACATGGCCATCTCTAAGCCCCTGCTCTATGCTCAGGCCATGCCAAGGAGACTGTGCGTCTGTCTGGTTCTCTGCTCCTACACTGGGGGCTTCGTCAACGCGATCATCTTGAGCAGCAACACATTCACGCTGCATTTCTGTGGTGGCAACGTCATTGATGACTTTTTCTGTGATGTCCCGCCCCTGGTGAAGTTGGCATGTGATGTGACAGACAGCTACCAGTCTGTGCTGTACTTCCTGCTGACGTCCAATGTCATCACGCCCCTCGCCCTCATCCTGGCCTCCTACCTCTTCATCATCGCCGCCGTCCTGAGGATCCGCTCTGCGCAGGGCCGCCTCAAGGCCTTCTCCACGTGCTCCTCCCACCTGGCCTCTGTCACCCTGTACTACGGCTCCATCCTCTACATCTACGCGCGCCCCAGTTCCAGCTACAATCTTGAGAGGGACAAGATGGTCTCCACCTTCTATACTGTGCTTTTCCCTATGCTGAACCCCATGATATACAGTCTGAGGAATAAAGATGTGAAAGACGCTCTAAAGAAACTCTGTGACTTCTCATAGGCTGTTGTCTGAGTGACACACGTTCCTCTCAGCATCTCTGAGTGACAGCATACCACCTCACAGCAGGTGGAACAAGTGAGTTACTTTTAAAAATCCCTACTAAATATTTTTAAATTTTCATTTAATTCCCAATAAATGAAATTTACCCAAATATGTCTTCTGTGTTAGTTTCTTCGTTTTATTGTAATGATTGAACTATCAACTCTACTATGCTCATTAGATTCATCTTAACATTGAGATAGATTTTAACAAGCAATTCTGGATTTAACGCAAAATAATATGATATAGTCTATATACTTTCAGCATTCCAAGGGATTAAATTACTTTCCTTCTAAATATTAACTCATTTATTTTTTGACATAATGATTAATATGAGGATAAAATGAAAGCATACCACAGATTATTGACATCTAGAAAGAATATCCTAACTACTATTAGTCAATAACTGCTAAGTTTCCTGTATGAGTGAAGAATAAGGCCTGTCAAGGTATTTTTGGTAGAAATAAACAAGGCACTTATATATGATAAGGTATAAAAAGAAACAAATTTTCAGCTAAAGCAAATGGTGCAACATCTTCTATTTGCCCTATGTCTTTTATTTTAATGAACTTCGTTAACATTCTGTGGTCATTAATTGCCATCATCTTTCATTAACAATGTTCTATAGTTTGAGCAGAAAACTCTTCACTTACAAAACCTAAAAATCCTTCTCTTGAACTTTTATAGAGGGCATTGTAAAACATCAAAGACATTGATTATATTTTGAAAACTGAGCTATAAGGACATCTTTCATAGTTAAAATATTCCAAGTTAAAAACACTAGCATGGCTCTAGAATGTGTCGCTTCCTTTGGAGAGTGCGGTGACAATTCCTCAAAAATATGGCTGAAAATGTCCCCAGGCAGTCCCCCAAACCATCCTAGATAGGCCTACTGAGATATAAGACTTGATACATATCAGAGTAAACTGCCATGGAATTTATTAGGTGAATTGATTAGGTTCACAGCATGTTATTGTGAAGGATAACAAGATAAGAGATGTTTAGCTTAGTTTTGTCATGCACTCTGGTGGTAGAGGACCTGGCCCATGCAGTGTGAGTGCATCAGGAATTAGGCCTAGGGCCAGGCATCATTTCTAGGTGGTTAGAAACCCATTGGATTTTTTACTACAACCTACATGTTAGATTATCAGTGCCTGGTGATATCTAAGGCTTTGGTTTGGTTCTAGCTCATAGCAAAAAACATGCAATAGCTGGGCTATAATAATTGAGACTTCCTATATCATTTGGTCAGGACAACAGAACATGAACAGGAAACATGGGAACCCTGTATTGCAATCATTTTCCTGTTGATCATAATTTGTTTCACTTAATTCAGGGCTGCTGCTTCTCCTACTGGGGGTCACATTGCTGCATGGCTCTTGGGAAAATGTCTGGGAGTACATTTGCCCTAGCAGAGGTGATGTGCGTTCACTCTTGGAGGTGATGTGTGTTCTGCAGAACACATTTGCTCTTAGTGATGGCTGTTGTTTTGCCATCTAAACAATTCCTAAACACTTCATCTCATAGCACAGGGATGTAGAAGACACAAGTTAGCAAAGACATCTTGTTCTCAGGTCTTAGTGCAGAAATACCTTTTCTACTGAATGGGATAAATATCTTAAAAAGTGTTTGCTGGATTATTTGGTAAAATCAAGTATAGCTTTGTAAGAAATTAAGTCCTCCAAAGTTGATACAGCAACTTGAATTCCCATGAGCAATGAATAAAAGTTCCATCTATATTCTATATTCTAATTCTGTGTTCTATATTCTTATCAGAAATTGTGCTGTCAGTCTACTTTTATTCATTCTAATGCTCTCAAAGATATTTTCCTTTTTAAGTCTGTAATTCAATAATAAAAATAATGGTGAACATGAAAAACACCCCCTAGATACACACAGAAATTGGAGCATTGCAGAAGACTTTAGAATCTTACTGAAAATAAATATTTAACATACTGAGAAAACTTCAGGCAGTCCATGATTCCCAGTCTCACCCAATAGAGATTGTTCACCAAGCATCAATATCAAACTATAAGTCCTGGAAACTATCACTTTCTCCCCAAGTCTCCCTCTGAGACCCATCAGAATGAAGATCACGAAATCTTGAACTACAGAGAAGTGAGGTAACACACTTCGGCACATCAACCAGCCCAGTACTCTAGGATTGAAAGACTTCATGGCAGAACAAATGATGACTATTAAAAAGGTGTTTGTTCAATGTTTTATTTTTAAAATACAACTTACTAAAATGGAAGTAATGTGCACTGGCGTGCTCACAGCATATGCATTTTGGAAAATATATTGGTGGCATTCAGTAAGAAACAGTAAGCCTCACCCCTGCGGGCGTACGATCTGCGTAGCTTTCCTGAAGGCTTCCTTGACATCCTTGTTCCTTAGGCTATAGATGAGAGGGTTGAGCAGGGGGTTGACCACAGTGTAGAATAGGGCGGCCACTTTGTCCTTCTCCAGGGAGTAGCTGGAGCTGGGCCTCGAGTACATGAAGAGCAAAGATCCGTAGAAGAGCATGACGGAGACCATGTGGGAGGCGCAGGTGGAGAAAGCCTTGCGCCTCCCTGAGGCAGAGCGAATCCTCAGGATGGCCAGGAGGATGTTAAAATAGGAAAGCAGGATCACAAGCAGGCAGGAGAGGACAGTGAACCCCACCACACCTAGGAGGACCTTTTCGTAGACCCGGGTGTCTGTACAGGACATTTTTACTAATGGTGGAGCATCGCAGAAAAAGTGGTCAATGACGTTTTTACCACAGAAACTCAGCCGGAAAGTGTTGGCAGTGTGGGCTATGGCATTCAGAAACCCTCCTATGTAGGAGCCAGCAACAAGCCCAGTGCAGAGAGACGAAGACATGGTAGCTGAGTACAGCAGTGGGCTGCAAATTGCCACATAGCGGTCGTAGGCCATGGCTGCCAGCAGGTAGCACTCAGTATAGGCCACAACACAGGAGAAGAACAGCTGAGCCCCACAGCCAGCCAGGGAAATGCGCTTATCTTCTGAAACGCAATTGGCCAGAATCTTGGGGGTGTACACGGAGGTGTACCAAAAATCCAGAAATGACAGACTGCCGATGAAAAAGTACATAGGTGTGTGCAGCCGGGAGTCAATCCGGATTAAAATTACCAGGGTCAGGTTGCCTGACAGGGTTGCCAGATAGATCGCTAGAATTACCCCAAATAGGATCATCTGCCAGCGGGGATTTGCTGAGATCCCCACCAAGATGAACTCAGTTAGGACAGTGCGATTTCCCAATTCCATGTCCACACAGAAAAACCTGATTATCACCAGTGGACTAACTTTCCTGTTTAATGTAACACTAATTTTCTTAACACCAATTTTCCTATTTAAGCAGGAGAATTGTTTTATTGATTAATTAAGAATTACAAAGAAGCCTGGGAAATCCAATCTCCTGCTATCTAGCATTACAGAATTTCAGATTGGACCTTGGAAAGACTAGAGGAATTTAAAATAAAAATGATTTTAAAATAAAATGCAATGCAGTTATTAGCTTTAGTACAGAGAGTCCCTTATTCTCATAAGACTGATAAGAAAAGTGTAATGACCAAACATTTTCTGGCAGATGGTGTGACCGGGTAAAGGGGAGATATTTGAAAACCCGAGGCCAACATTTCACTTGCAATGGGCACTCAGAAGATTTCAGTATCCTTCCACCAGTTTAGCACCTCTTGTGGGAAGCTATGTATGACAGAGTGCTGTACTGAGCCCCCTGCTATCAGCACAAGTAGAAAGAAAAAACAAGCCTTTCCAGGCATCTGTCAGTTTCCATACTACATCTCATATGTAATTAATTCAGTCCTCATTATGACTTCATAACAGAGGACTGAGGGTTACAGACTTCACCCACACCACAGCGAATGAAAACGAAGCCTGAGCTCCAGTGAGGAGCTTCACGAAGCTGTTCAACCACCGAGCTGGTCGTGGGACTGTGACCCTCAGTAGCTGGGGTGCTGTGCTTTTGAATGAGGCTACAGACAGAAGAGTAAGCTCAGCTATGCTGTTACACAAAGAGGTGACAATAGGCAATCACAGTCCTCAGTGTGCTACAAAGGACTAGAACAAGGGTATTCAATGTTTTCCTGTAAAGAAATGACAAAGATCTGAGGTTAATATAATTGAAATTATATAATATATGTATATCTGGAAACATCACATAGTAAATCACAAATGTGTGCAAGCTGAACAATATATGTGTATTAATTTGCTATTCTTGTTTTCAAAATCTGTACCATATATATTGTTGTGTTACTCTGTTTCTGTCTTTGTTTCTGCTATTAGTTTTTGCTGCTAGTTTTGCTCTTTAAAATAAAATTTAAATAAATAAATATAAAAAGACAAAAACAAAATAAAATAGTCATAGTAAAATAAAAGTGTCATTTAACCTGATTCCATAACTTGGATGCTCTGTCATCTTAGAAAAGTATATTAACCTGCAAACCTATATGTCTTCACATCCAAAATGGTAAAAAAAAAAAGGGGGGGGTGGCCAGATAGCTCAGCGGATTAAAGCACCTGCAAGCAGGCGCAGGGGCCGGGGGTTCGATCCCCAGGCCTGCTGTGCCAGGCCTGCTCTCAGGATGCACTGAGACAGCAGTTGAGGCTGGGTGTGGGGGTGCTCTCCTGTAACCCCAGCTCTTGGGAGGCTGTAAACAGGTGGATCACTACAAGGCCAATCTAGTAGTGAGACCCTGAACACACTGCAGACCATTACAAAAAAAAAAAAAAAGAATTACAAAATGGTCTAAAAAAAAAAGTTCACATATAACATGAGTAAAATTACAGATAACATAGTGGAAAGATAGAAATGGTAGCTAATTTAAATCTGAGGAGAAAAATATAAAGTCTGGGTTTATGGAACAGTAATCAAGTTTCTATAACTAAATAACTGAAGTTAGAACAGTGGTATCCTTCTTAAAATCTATAAGTTTAATGTTTATGTCGCCCACTGCCATAACACAGTAATGTGACTGCTTTAGAAGTTCAAAACTCATTGGCCTGGGATTGAAGGGCGAAGGAACTGTTACACAGACCAGCACCAACAACATGTGCAAATTAGGAAATGCTTCTCTATCCTCAGAAGCATATTTCGAAACAAGTTGGTCACTCCATTTTCCAGTAGCAATCAGATCTAATTCTAATCAGCTAACATCTCTGGAATGAATCACCAGGAAATAGACAGGACTTGGCCTGTTGTGACAGAATGTACCATCACAGAGGAAAGGTCGCTGGATACCCACGTATCTCTGGATAAACAGCAAGTACCAAAGACAACTGCATTCAAGTTTTCTCCTCAAGATTTGCATTCCCTTTTTTGTTTCCCTGAAGAGAAAATGAACCATCCTCTAACCCCTGCATTCCTTAATTTCTTCATGTGAAAACAACTAATGACTGAAATTTTTTTTAAATGATCTAGATTTCTGGGAACTCATAAAATAGAACCCTCCCCAATACACACATGCATGTAAGAATAAATGCATAAAATTTTTGAAGATTCAAATACTCCTAGAAATTTGTCAGTGGATATTATATACCAGGATTCTTAGATTTCAAAAAAATGCTCTCAAAACAAAAATACTCCCCTAGAAGATTCCTCAGCTTCTTTCCAGTGCTCATAATACAAGAATAAGGACAGATGTAAGTATTTATACTTACCGTAATTTTTAGTCCACACTTTCAAATTTGGTTGCTATGGTTTGTGTCTAATTGTGCCCCCCCCAAAGCCTCAGACAGTCATGGACTTCTAGACTTTGTGATTAATTCGTGATCCAGTGCTGGGATTGTGGATAAGAGTGTTGTTGGGATTGTGGGTGTGAGTGCTACTCTTGGCCTGAAGCTGATAGCTTGAATGCAAAATAAGTGAGACAAACTTTCTCTCTCTCGCCGTTGTTGCCACTACTCCTCCCATTTGCTCCAGCTGTTTTGCTGTTTTCAGTTGCCATGAACTACTGCCTTCTGCCACTCTGCCTTGGAGCCAGCTGAGTACGGACTGAACCCTCCATTAAATAAACCTTTCCTTCCTTAATTTCGAGTGTCAGGCATTTTGTTCCAGGAATGAGAGAAAAGTAATTGAGCCATTGATCTATCTGTCCTTTCTTCATATCAGTAAATTAAATTCTCACCATTTTTCTGAATTAAAAAAATTATAATCAACTTATTCCCTGTTGTCCAGGGAATAAAAGAATCAACTTCTTATTTTATGTTATATACTTTTTATTGTTTCTAAGTCAAAACACTACTTGCCTTCCTTCAAACTTTTCCTGAGTCTTTCCACTCTCACCACTTCTAAACTTACCACCATGGCTCAAGGAACCACCGTTTTTAACAAGAGTATTGCCGGAGCTATCTAACTGGTCTACAGCCTTATGCCCTGCAGTACACTGTTGATAGCATAGCCAGTATGGTCCAATAAGTTGATAAGGCAATGCAACACTTGTACTTACAACCTTGTAAAGATGCCTACTTTATTACGCATGCACACACACACACACACACACACACACACACACACATACACACACACACAGTGGCCTTGCAGTTATCCAGAGTTGAGTTTGCCGTACAACACATTACCTCCTAAAACTTACCCTACTCTCTTGGTCTTTCATTCTGCTCCTACATTGGTGACTTTGCCACCCTCTCAAATATGTATCTCTATTTTGACATCAAAAATAAAGTTGGATATTTGCATCTGCTGAACCTGGAAATTGATCTGATGTGGGAGGGTAAGTTGAGGCAGTCAAGCTACTTCACTTCAGTCTTGAGAAAAACATACTTCCTGGACATTGTGGGCTATTAGTCGCTAGGAAACCTTGTGTCTTGTAACTTCGCAAGGGTATAAATAAACACACCTACTGTTGTTCAGTGGCCCCTTGTCTACCAGTTGTGGTCCACCACCCGACCTCAGCTTTATCTCTTATCTTGATTTTCTAAATCCTCTCGCTGTGTTCTCCCGGGCACTATCAAGAGACGAACAGATCCCTACAGGTTTTTCTAACCAGTCTGTTCCTTCTCCCTGAAACACTCTCTTCCAGATACTCACATAACTCCACCCCTCTAAGTCCTTCCGTATGTCCTTTTCTAGGGCTCATGATTGTCACTTCCTTTGTAAAGATTCCATGCCAGCTTCCCATTAATAATCTTCACCCTCTGACTCTCCTCAGATCCTCTGTTCCACTCCACTCCCAGTTCTTGCATTCTAACTTACATCATATGCTAACTCTTACCTGTCCTATTTAATGTCTGTGTCTCCCTACTTGAAAGTATTATCCATAAGAAGAAAGATGAGTCTGTTTATTTGCCACTGGATCCCAGTATCACAGCCAACCCCTAGCAACTTAGCAGCCCTCCGAACATATTTAGAGAACATCTAATGAATTGCCTATGTATCTGCCTTGGACCTGTTTTGGCTGATGTACTGTCTACTTCTCACCTTACTTAAAATTCTCAGAAAGAGAAATGCACTTCCCTGGCTCAGCATACTGCAACATGATCAGAAGGATGAACACACAAGAGGTAAAATTCACACCCAAGGCCTCACATCCACCCTGAGCTTCTAGTCAACTGTGATTATATGTGAATGTGAGACACAAGGCACAGAAAGGGTCACTACCAAGCATGTTAAACCACTGCACAGAGAGTACTGGCCCGGGACCATCTCGGTTCCTGGGGCCCTCATTCACTGAGCAAATAAAACTCTGTGCAAAGAATGTGCTTCTCTAGTATCTAAGGATGAGCTCCGAGGGGTGAAAGCAGCCTTAGAACAGCACAGCCGCTGAGGACAGAGATGAGCTCAGGTCTTTGTGCTTGATCTTTTTCCCTGTTACTGAATGTGTGATCTGTCGGCACAAATATCAGGCAGAATTTCAAGTTGTATATTAGGGTAAAGTATACATTTGGATGGAAGCTGGGTT